CCCCAAAACCCCAAAACCCCAAAACCCCGCTGTGATTTGAATAATCTTTGATAGGTTAATTAGAATAAAAAAGCTAAATAATAAGTATTATTTTAATGTTATTAGAATAGATGAATTCACAATAACAGTAATAGCTGGAAAACCCATAACAAGTAACACCTTATCTCCAGCAAATCATAAGCCCTGCATAATAAGGTATTGCTTACTATAATTGATTTTAGATTAGGCAAACCCGATGTGGGTATCAGAAATCTGTTTAACAAACCCACAGATTCTAAGCTTAACAATTCAAGCCTTGAGAATCAAGAAAACTAAAACTTAAATATGGAGGGATCAGATGGTAATGATCCAGGATGGAGATAGGAATCCTCAAGGAATTCATCAAGTGAAAGCGATAAAGAGTTCATAGATGAAAACGTCAGAAACGCAATAGAACTTAGACAGAAGAAATCTAAAGTCACTGACTTCTATCTTAAATTAACTGAGCTTAAGGATAGAATAGATGTATATTAGCATATATTCATGTCCAAACAGCCTAAATATATCTAGATGCACAAAAAATATAAAGAAAGATTGGTAAAAAAGCAATTATCTTTTAATTTTTTCATAGAGAGAATAATAGCAAGCTCTTAACTAGTCATAGCTAACCATGGCCTCTGGTAAAAAAGACAAAAAGTCATCGTAGAAGCAATAGCGAAGCACAATTATGGCAGGAATAGAAGCCTTCATAATGAATCAGTTATAAAAAAATAACATATAAATTGATGGCGAGAGAAACACTAAATTGAGCACTCTTCCTCAGACAAACAAAAATAAAAAGCTATTATAATCTCAGTAGACGCATAGTTTGAAGAATCTTATAGATAATATCACGATGGATGCTCAATAAAACTCAAATTTGAAGAGGACTGTAACCAATACAATTCAATAAAGTGGTTATGAGTACGGTTCTAGCTAAATAAGCAGGAAAATGACGTAAAAGTCAAGAAGGTCTCCTCAGGAGTAAACTAGAAATAAAAATAAAATAGAAATCGGTAACAATGTTCTTGAGCTGTCAGCTGAGAGTGATAGTGTTCATAACAGAAGCAGTTAAGTGAATAGAAGTTAAATCAAATCAGATTCAAAGAAGTCTTAGATCAATTAAAGACACCGAAGCAGAAATAATGGTTAGTCACCTATAGGAATAGAAATTCAGAGACAGAATTAATCATCCTAAAATGTTTCATAAGACTCACAATAGAGGAACAAGTAGTTTTTCCTTAATGGCTCTATGTTGACAAGTATTGATGCTTCAGCAAGTACCAGACGGAAGTTTGTTAATCATTAAGATATAAAGTATGCAATGAAAAGGTAGTAAAAGACATTGAATCAATCCGTATTTCAAGATGTATTCGAGTAATATGAGAAATATAATACGAAAAGTTTAGACCGAGACAAAAGTGTGGAAAGTTCCTAGCAAGGTAAAGGAAAGAAAGAGTATTCTAATCTTCAAACGATCAGTAAAACTAGTTAATAAGACAATAGTAAGAAGAGATTTGTAAAACTTAATAAATCGGTGTAAAAGGTATATCTTGCTGATCCTAATCCAAGTAGCCAAACAAAGATCTTACCGAAATATGATGTCAACAGATCCACAGAAAAAATAGCATAAGCATATAACAAGTTTAGGGAGACTCCAATATCTTTAACAGCAAAAGCTAATATGAAGAATTTTAACTTTGATAATCGATTCCCTGGAGTTAAATCTAACCTTCCGACTCTAGCTGGTTCTGTAGTCATCAGCAGTCACGATGATTATAAAGACATTTATACAAAGGAAAGAAGTAATCTTCCTGAAATACTCTCAAAGAGAAATTCTCATCAGCCATTTTAATAAAAGAATCCATTTGGGCATACAGTGTATTAAGGTGGATCATCCACGAGAGCTAACATAGTCTCAAGGAATCATTATAATAACTTACACATATCAGCCGAAAAAAAGAAAACTGGGTCTACTTACAATATTCATCAAAGCAAAAGTCCGATTAGAGCTTCTATCAATAAAATTGCTAATTCTACTTAGAAGTACTTCAGGAATTTGAACTCAAAATTTGATATCATTAAGTATGGTTATGATCAGGCCTATCTTGAGAGACTCTAGAATCTTTAGGAGCAACAAATAGGCAAGATTGAAAATGAGATTAGCAAATACCGAGAAAAAGTATTCGTTCAAAATAGTTAGAGATAGACAAATATCAACCTATCTCTTAGAGAAAACATTTTAACAAAACAGAATTAGCAGACTTAGTGATTCAAATTTATTTTTAACTCTAATAACTATCATTAAGTTCATTGATTTCATTATATCGAATCACGGGGTTTTGGGGTTTTGGGGTTTTGGGG